CTGCTAATTAGAGAATTAACACCGTCTCTCAACTCAATTCAAGCAAAACTATTTGCGTGACATTGCATATGTAATAACGAACAATGTTAATCTTGAGCGAATTGTCTGACAGTTTATCTTTTTGCATTTGAACTTGAAAATGGTGTCACGATGTCACCGAAACGTTGTTCTTTCTTATCGCTAATTTTCACTTGTTTATGCTTGACAAACTTTTGCTTAGGACCATTCAAGTGAACCAGATAAACTCTCTAAACTAAGCCAAGTTCTGGAGAAGTCTCAAGAGCAATATGATCAACACTCAGTTTTGATAAACAGTTCGTTTCTCGTTTCAATGAAGGCCACAGATATGTCTTTACATCATTTCAAAACGCACGAAATATATTTTATTACAAAGTATGCAAACCCCAACCTAAGAGTCGTCACGCAAAGGAACGATGGTGTCAAGATGTCGAGTCCAGTTGCGTGACAATCCCTGGTGCTTGGTTGTTTTCCATATTAAATTTTGAACGTACCTGTGGCGTACATTGTGACAGAAACAAACCGTTTACTAAAACCAGTTTGCCATCATACCGCTTAGTTTTAATCAATCAGTCAATCAGGCAGTCATTACATCAATCAGACAATCAATGATTAAGTGCATCATTCCGCGTGTCAGTCTTTCAATCAGTCAGTCAGGCATTACGCCAGACAACCAGTCTGTTAGTCAGTCTGTCATTCTTGCATCAGTCTTTCAGTGAGTAATTCAGTCAGACAAGCAGACAGTCTGTCAGTCTGTCAGTCAGTCAGTCAATCAGTCAATGAGACAATCAGTCTGTCAGTTCGTCATTCCATCCCTCAGTCATTTAGTCAGTCAGTCAGTCAGTTCGTCATTCAATCAGTCAATCAGACAATCAATCTGTCATTCCATGCTTCAGTCTTTCAGTCTGTCAGACAGACAGACAGACAGACAGTCAGTCAGTCAGTCAGCAGTCAATAAGTCAATGAGACAATCAATCAGTCAGTCCATCATTCTGTCTGCCAGTCAGTCAATGAGACAATCAATCAGTCTATCATTCCATGTATCAGTCTTTCAGTCAGTCAGTGTGCCTGTCATTCCTCGCATCAGTTTTTCGGTGTGTCAGTTAGTGAGTTTGTCAAACAGTCAGTCAGTCAGACAATCAATCAGTCAGCTCCCATTCTGTCAACCAGTCAGTAGACAGTGAGTGTCAGTCTTTCACTGTGTCAATCAGATGGTCAGTCAGTCAATCAGACCATCAATCAGTCAGTCAATCATTCCATGCATCAGTCAGTCAGTCAGTAAGTCATGATGGGTTTAAAACTTTACCGACAAAAAGTGTGTCATGAGAGTTTTTCTATTCATTGTGCAAATCAACCACAGAAGAATACAGTGTACATTGAAAAACTGAATTCAGTTAAGCAGGGCAGAACTTGGCTTATTCAAGAGTTTTGTTTACCTGGTTCCCCCAATAGATGGATGCAAAATAAAGCACACAGCCCTTCTGAAGATGACTGCTTGAAGCTTTGGTCCACTTTGTCCCAGTTGGCATCTGATCTGGAAAAGGAAGATTAACTTCTTTCAGTCTCAAGTTAAATATATTTAAAAGAAACGCTCATATTACTTTTAGACCTGTCCAGTACAAATCAGTACCATTTAAAAAACAATTTAATAAATCAGCTCACTAGTTTAGAGAAGCGTTGCTTGGCAACCAAGAAAATGGCTATGAAAGAGACTATGGAAGGCCACCATAAGCAATCAGGTAACACCAGCTCTACTTCCAAGGCCACAATTACATTTGATCATCCTACCTCTTGTTTTTTTACTATTTTCCATAATCAGTAAGTCTATGGGGTGAAACCTCCTGCGATTATTAATTTGTACCACTCGCAAGGGAGGCAACCCAGGAGCAGGTTTTTATAATATGCCTGAACAAAGCAACACAACATTTAAAGGTCAAATTTTTAAACAAAAATTACTTAAAATCATTTTATCATGCAATTTTTTTCTAGTTTTGCATTGCTGTAGGTCTGTGGAGCCAATTTACAAAAAGATAAGCAAATTTCTGGACTACGATGAGTTCTGCACTAAGGAGGGAGTATACAGAAAAACTTCTGAAAGTAAAACAAGTTCAGACAACTTATAAACATTAAATAACAGAAAGAAAGATTCTGAAGCCTACCAAAGCTTTATCAGTAAGGGCTTTTATTTCAGTTTTCGGTTTTGGATGAAATTTATTGCGGTTTTGGGCAATTTTTTGCATGGTTTTCTGGTTTCTAATAAGCACCTATGCCCTCCTTCTGGAGAAGACATGTTTACCTTTCGTTTCTCAACTGTTCTTGTAGATGGCCATTATTACTGTGAGGTAAGATAATGGGACAACACATTACTACCTTACACATGGTGCACCCCTACTAGAGTAATTAACAAATAAACAGGCTACTGAATAATGTGGATCAACAAAAAACACAACCTTTTCTGTGATATTAATTTTCATTTCCCTTACTATTTACCCATACAGTTTTAAAGTACTCACACAGTACCTGTGCTTAGATGTGCAAGTGACAAGTTCTACAGTCATCACTTTGATTCAGGGAATCAGAATGCCTTGAAGTAAAGTTCAGCATGTTACTTGAAAGGGTTCTTTTCCCAAGATGAGATCTGTTAGTCTGTTGTGCTGACCCTCATAAAAATTTTCTTTGATTTATCTGTGGAAAGAATGGTAGGTGTAAACTAAAAGTTCTATTAATTTATTTTATCAATATACAACCTCGTCATAATAGATCAATACAGCCCCTAACAAAATATTACTTTGTCAGAATCATTATTTTCAGTTAAAGAAGCTCTGGTTATTGGTTATTGAAAATTTTCTCTATGAAACCTTTGTGTGTGTGTGTTTTTTTTTATGAAAAGAGTAATTCCATATATATTATGCAAAGGTAAGCTCATGTTAATCATAATTCACTGGAAAATTCATGAGTTTGCTTATAACAGAACTCCGGTAGGTATTCTGTTGTGAGTAGTTAGCTCCAATGCTAGAAGTTTTGAAAAGTTGGTCCTCTAAAAGGAGTTGTTTATATGGGCTTCTATTATAGCTCTCCTACAGGTGCTGTACCATGCAAGGAAACCACCTTCTTCAATCTTATTGAATGCATAAAGAGCACCCACCATTATGATCACTGCAACACTAAATTGTACTTGATGTCTTTTTGCAGTTAAGTGATAACGTCGAAAGGCCAAATGCTTCAAATCAACCGTCATCTTATGAACGAGCTATTAAGGACTGTGCCTTCTTTTTTTTTGGTGCACACACGTTCTGCACGTCACACAAGGCATGGTTTAAGCACCACACATGCGCTGGGTTGACATTGACGCAATCAACTATGCTACCAGGTACACAACTAAAATGAAAGCAAAATTTTCCTACTGTGACCAAATCAAGTTTAATGACCTGTACTTAAACCAGGAACACCAGAATAGCAGCATATCGCTAACCACTAACTGTTAACATCTTCCAGTTGAAAAACTAGCTGTTATCTGTCGAAAATTATACTGAGATCCAAATGTAAACATGTACCTGTAGATGGTGTAGTACGCACACAAAACAAGTGCAATACCCAAATGTTTTACTTACTGGGGAGACGACAGGAAAAAATGTAACAGACACCGTAAAACTTTTCAAAAAAGATCAATAACTTTAAAAGACCTCTGGTTACCCCTACATGTATGGGTTATTGACCAAGTGTGAGGTCAAGATGGCTGGATATTGGCCAAGTTCTTTTTTTGCGCGTTTATGGACCGAGACGGAGTCAAGGTCCATAAACCTGTAAAAAAAGAACGAGGCCAATATCCAGCCATCTTGACCAAACAAGCTTGGTCAATAAAGGATTTATTATATGGCTTTTGGAGAAATTTTTCTTGCGGGACACGGCAGATAGTCCCGAGCGGGCAAGATAGCTCCCTCTTGCCCGCTCAGGTAGCCAATCACAGCACAGGATTTGATTCATCTTGCCTGCTCACAGAGCTAGCCATATAATAATTTATTTTATGAAATGGAAGTGGCAAGCCTATTCAACACATAATTAGTTTCTGGTTGTGAGCAAAAGGTATTTAAACTGTATTTAAGCTGAACCAGAGGAAGGCTGTCAGAGACGCTAAAAGCGCTGTTGCAACGAAGAAATGTCTTTTCCTTCTTTAAAAAAATGCTGATGTCAGCATTTTTTGCTGAAATTCAAGGCTGACAATCTCGAAAAAATGCTTGGCTATCCCAAATTTTCTTTGTGGATTCCAATAGCCCTTGCAAAGATCTACTTTTTCCGCGTGGTCCTAACGTGGTGCAAAAACGTTTGTATTTAAGCTTAGCAGGCACCGTCCATAAGTCGAGTTTGCAACAAAAACGACGTAAACGACATTCAAAGACCGTGCTATAAGCCAGGATAAAAATCTCTGATCGTATAAACTGTTTAAAAGTACAACATACTTTATGTAGTTGCTGCAGAACATAGCTTTATCACTCAATACATGATATACAGCGCCACACGATTCGCCACACAAGGTCTTCCACCGCGCCGCCATTTTGAATTTCCCACAAAGTTTTATAGAGGGGGCTTGGCCACTCGGCTCTCGTCTCCAGGGTCTTCGCTTCGACGAAAAGCGTAGCTTGCGCCCCTCCTTCTATCCCCGCTCTATGTCGCGCCTGCTATGCAGGCTACAGGGTCCTACAGTGTCACACCAGTGATTTGGGTATCCTCGAGTTTTGGGTCCCTAGCCTGTTCCAGGCTCTCGGTCTGTAGTGACGATCGAAAAAGCGGGCGGGCGGGTCAGCGAACAGGCTAGGGATATACCCAGTACTTGGATACATCACTGCGACTGTGCGTCAGCGGCATTTTTCTAACGGATTCTTGTCATTGTTGTTTATTTGGGCCAGGGTAATTAATTAAATCAATTAATTATTTAATTGATTAATTAGAGCAGTTTTCAATTCAGTGTCGTAAAACCAAAACCAAACCAATTACTCACTAATTAGACTACCTAGTCAATCTCAAACCGTAGTAAAACTAAAACCAAAACCAAAGTAATTGTCTGATTACTTTTGACACTCAATTGAAAACCTCTCTAATTAATGAAAGTTAAGGTACCGGTATCTCCGCTAGATTTTCGTTTTCTTTCTAAAGGAAATGACTCATGGTATTTGGTTCTATATAAATAACTGAACTTTCTTCGCTTCAGTTTTACTCATCCCTTTGTAAGAGCATTGTTACGTGGCTCAGTATGATATTCCATAAATCTCCGTATATTGTACTGGAATGACTCGGAATATACCGGAGCAAGCCAGAATGGTACTGCAATTTTCTGGAATGACACCGGAATGGACTGCAACCATCTCCTCAGTTTACAGTCCTATACTGAGCGCCAGAGAGGGAGTATGGACATTCAGCCGATAAACTGTAACAATGCTGTATTAATGAGAAAATAAATGCATTGTACTTCGTAATGTTTTATCTCAGGCGTGACAGAGCTAAGACCAGATATCTTCTCCTGGACTAAAAACAGAAGACGCAATATTTAACCCATTGACGCCTGTGATGGGCGTTGGCCTTTGCTCCACCTCTGACGTCATCACCTTTGACTAAAATTGGCATCACTTATACTAAAGTTCTCCAAGAGGAAAAGGTATTTCCACTGATACCCAGATCGGACTGATTGGATCAATTGAGGAAACATGCACAAAAGTGCTCAGAAATTTGAGTGCAAAATTCGGAGCAAAATATTTCCCTCTACTACACTTGGCTACTCCGTTGAATGAATTTGCAGCGTCAATGGTGTTTTCGTGGGAATTCTTGTACTGGAAGCAAGCCCAGTAGTAGGTCGACAACTGCAGCAAACAAACAAAAAAAATCAAGAAAACCGAAAGGCCTAAAGATGTAGGTCGTCTCGAAATTTTGATTATTTTCTGCGCATTCCCGAGCAAGAGTGTCATAAAACGCGATGCTAGCGGAAAGAAAGGCATGGCGTCTCTTTGCTGTTATTGCAAATGCCCTTTTGAGTAGGTCAGAACTAATTTAGCTCATATCCGGGCTAAAAATGTCCAAAATGGTCAAGCGTTTTTTCCAAATATCTCTGGGTGTCAATGGGTAAATAAGTTGAGAAATTCTCTCTGATACCCCTTTCATTAGCCTTACAATTACGAGGGATAGAAATTTGATCATAGAAATTCCCTCAAGTCTAGTCCTGACTAGACAATTCCTGCATTAGGATGAAAATGTGTGGATCACAATGAACATGCATGTGCAGAGACCCAAACAAAAATGATGGGAATACTTCAGCTTTAATGATATAAAATATCAAAAATTGAAACATGGAAAATTCGATGGTAATAATTTTTTATTACATTCCGAGAGAGTTTGTACACATCAGACTTTCATCTCCTTAATCTTGGCCTTTTCAAGCTTGTGTGCAGCCGCCTGGGACTTGTTTCCCATCACACCACCACCCCAGTGTTTTCTGATCTCATCGAACCTCTCATTGAAGTTGGTCTTAACAGCCTCGCAAAGGTTAGTAAAGTTGTTCTTGTCTTCTGGTCGAACAGCAGTGAAGCACAGTACTGTGGCTGTCTTCTTGTGTACTACCTTACCCAACCTAAAGGCACCAAGATAAAATAAGCTCCTTACAATCTAATCAGTAGTGAAACTAAAACAACTCTTCTAACTAAGCTGGACAATCTGTGTCTGGTTCTATACTAGACTGTCACAAAAATCAGGTCCAATGTGTAGTTGCAGAAAATATTTTTCAGGGTTTTTTTTTTTTTTCATTTAACCCCCATCCCTCCTGAAATTCCAGTTTAGCTTACTATCTTCCTTTTCAAATTTCAGCTTTTGAAAGCAACTCACCCCTGGTGGGTATGGAAATTTTCCAGAGTTGCACAACTAAACATTACTGTAAAAGTCATATCGGAGTTGAAACATTTAACACAAACTTACTGCCTCTGATTTTAGACCAGATCTCTTATGCCACAAGTTTCCTCCAGAAAAAATAAGTATAACAAGAAAAAACCCTCAAGCCCTCACCCTTTTTCCGATTCCACCCAAACAATTTCTCCACTACGTAGTATACAGGGCCGGCATCAAATTAATGGTTTTATATAACTTTGCTTGCAGGTTATACAGCTAGTGTAAAGACGTGTACTGCAAAGGAGGATACTGTAAACCTAAGTAAGATTTAAGAGTGATTGATAATATGAAGACACACTAACCTGGCTTTTCCCTTCACAATACAGTACGGAACACCCATTTTCCTGCACAGAGCTGGCAGCCACACAACAAGCTGCAAAAATAATTGGTTATATGTTCTCTGAGTTAAACGGTTTGCTCAAAGAAGAACTTTTATCTCTCCATCTAACTTCATGCTCACAGATTTGGCTTTTAAGGTCAAGACATACAAGCAACATTTCCTTAGTATCAACTTGCCACAAAACAATCCTGCGTTTAAAAAGTATGGCTGCCTGTATTTCTTTTTGTGTTACAAGTTACAGGAACATATTTCACAAAGTTGAAATTGTGCCTTCTATTTGCAGCATGTTGCTGCAATTTATGACACAAGTGGTAACATGCGAATCATCACTGTTAATCACATAGAAATGCAATATTTCTGTGCAACAGGTTTGAAGAAAATATTAGATCATCAGGCTTTTAGTCAAGCTGAAATGACCATGAATTTGTCAATAAAAGGTACCACAATTCAGGAATTAATCACAGAGAATGAAGGGCAAAGTACAAATGAAGTGAAACTTGGCTAAATCACAGCATAGTGTGTTTGTACTTAATTGAATTTGTGAAAAGCCACCAATTACATTCTTGTTCAATTTTCACTATCTGTGAGTTTTTAATGCTACCTTGCACCTCATGTACTTTTTTTTAACAAAAGAACCTCACATTGATAACAGTTAATTATGTAACTGATGTACCTTCCTGTATAGCAGTCTGTAAATCCTTTACTCTCAAGCAGAATGGCCTACAGTGGTACATCTTAGCCCCACTTTGAAAACTGAATTTGTGGTCACACTAGTGTGGTAACCTAGTTAGAATAAGTTAGAATAAGTTAGATTACTAGTCTATACCTGTTAACTATGCCTTACCTCAATGGGGTCAACGTCATGAGCAATGACCACAAGCTGTGCCTTCTTGTTCTCCACAAGACTAGTCACATGGTTAAGGCCATATTTGATAATAACTGGCTTCTTTCCTGCTGGTTCCTCCTTGCCCTCCGCTTTCTTTTCAGCCTTGGCTGTGAGGCGAGCTTTTTTCTCAGCTTTAGTTTCAGGACGGTATTTGTGCATCAGCTTGAAAAGCTGGGTAGCTTTAACAGGCAAAAAATTGAATTAACCTTCTTTTAAAAATGGACCAAGTACAACCGAGTACAGAACCACATTGCCCTTATTGTTTTGTTCCTTTTGCCATATGATAATCAATAAAGATGTCTTAATGGGAATAGCAACATTCCGCCTGGCAAAGGCCATGTTGTCACAAATCAGATGGAAACATCATTGTTAGCACGTTGTTATCTTTTCTTTTGATGATATTATATCTTTGCTGTGTATTAAAGGTTTTTTTGGGAGCTACAAGTGACCAATCTTGCTTACAGCCCACATTTTCATGTGCACAACATGTCCTTTCCAAGAAACCTTTTTGTTCTTGCCTAGGAAATGATCTAGACTGATCTGCACTGAAGCATATTATGCCTTACTGTGTAAACAGATAGGATAATCTTAAGTATGGTTATAGTGGGAAATAAATTTACAACATACCAGTTTGCTTGTCCAATGTCTGTGTGAACTGATTAATGGAAGGAGGAACCTTTAATCGCTGGTAAAGAACGCTCCTTTGCCTTTGCAGTCTGATGTACTTTGGCCATCTGACAAATCTGCTCAAGTCACGTTTTGGCTGAATATCCCCACCTTAATGTCCAAAGAAAATAATAATTTTACTCTGTAAAAATGAGTAAGAGGGAATCCACTGTACACCACACAAAATAACGCAAATGAAAGCAATTCCTAACGTCACATTCTATAACTATCACAACTGCAAGAAAACATTTTGCTATATAAAAGTCAACACTCCCATCAATACATATTGATAATTTCTGTATTTCCTCATGATCATTTTTTTTTTAATGGAAAAAAGGTGTGATTCATCGAAGTAGTTCTGTTTAAATTGACAATAGCTACTTTCAGTTTTGTGACCTTAGCCAGAATAACAAATCAATAATATAGCTCTTGTTCTTACCAATGCCAAAATTCCTTGGTCTTTTCTCAATGAGAGGGTTGACGACCTTCTTTGGTACTGGTTTGGAGGTAGTGTATGGGGCAGGTGCCACCTTCTTAACCTTCTTAACTTTAGGCTGCAGATCAAAGACAATATTAGCATTTGCTTGTTTACAGTTCTAACAGGCCATAAAAGTAAAAGTACAGTACAGGTACATTGTAAAGGTTCAACAACTAACATTGTTGCCACAGACATCAGTTTTCAAAATTCACTGACTTTTCCCTCATACAAATAAAATTTCCCAGACCAAAAAATACCTCACCATTTCCTGACCTGTGGCAACCCTAATAAAACTAAAGAGAGGCCTCACTGTTCAAACGATAGGAAACTCTGTCCATAAGATAAATCATTAGCTGGTGGATAAGTATGCCTTGCTTCGTCAACACTTAACCAGTTTATAGTTAACACTGTGTTGAGATCCAATCTTTGAACAGTGAGAACCAGGTCTTTATGAGATTGTATCCCTGAAAGAAGACCTCTATAGATAAAGACTTTCCTTTAACTAAGATAAACAACACTGACATGTGGATTGTACTATGCATTTCCAAGGAATGGCTGCTGACAAGACAAACTATGCTGTCCACTGGATTGAGATTTGTCCAACAGATAGCATTATCAATCCCTTGCATAAACGGACACTGTAGAATAACCTGCCCTTTGAAAGCTGTATTTGATGAAGTCTGAATACAATGTTAGGGAGGCTATTCCAACTTGAGGAAACATTTTAATGATCACAGCTCAGCACCAGGCTCTTAAATCAATTTAGTCCATGTACATTGTCTTTTAGATTGCAAAATAAGCACACAACTTATACATTCCCCAGAAAAACACTGGATTGTGTAGTTTATACTTTAAATATTTTCCTCCCTGACCCTTCTTCATTCAAATTTAATAGAACATGCTCTTTTGAGCAACTAATAATAACAGTGAAATTAAGAAATAAATTAAATAAAATTAAAAATAACAAGGAATGATGTATATAACACAGATGGTATACAGTGTGGGGCCCAGTTCTCGGCCGGGCCCAGTTCTCGGCCACTTTTCGTTCAGCATTTATTTTTCGCGCCATAGATGAATCTGAATAAAAAGCAATTGTTTCCAAAGGTAGCTTGATTCCTTGTCTTCCGTTCTGCCGAGTTTTGTTTCATCCCGCCGAGTTTTTCTGTGAGCACGTCGAGGTGACGCGAAGGTAGGTGAATCTGGTTTCCCCGAAAACGTGTTTGTTTACGGCTACTCTAATTACATGGTTTAATTCAAGTTTATATTTTGTCCGTCTAGAAAGCCCAAATGAGCCAATTCTTGGCATAAACGGTGTAGAGTGATAAAGCTATCTGTTAAATATAAACTTTTCCTGGCCTGTTTAATTCTTTGACCTAAATTCACTCCTCAATATTTCCTTAGTACTTTTG